TATTAGCAAACCATCTAATATCTTTAAAAAGATTAAAAGAAAATTATTACTACATAATGATATTTAACGGCATCGAATAATTGAATTAAAATGTCGGATATTAAATTCAGATTTTCACTTCTGTCTAGAATTACGCAATATGTCGACATCAATTTTACAAATGAATTTTAAGTCACGATTAATGAACGTAGATCGGTAGTGATAGATTTAAAAATTTAAAAATAAAATCAGAAAAATTTTTAAAAAAAATCAACAAAATATATATATATATATACATATTTATTTTTTATTTAATATATTTAGAAATTTGTATGAACCAAAGATTTCAATGGTAAAAAAATAATATATTTAAAAATTATAAATATTAAGAGTGTAAATATTTAATATCAAATAGTTAAAAATATTTTTTAACAAATATTAACTTAGGTAGTTCAATCTCTGTTTATTACTATATTGTCTTAAGTTTTTTTTGTTGAAAAAGTTGGGAAGAATAGAAAGATGAAAAAAATAAAGAGGGTGCGGGTGAGGTCACTTAACTCAGCTTTTATCCCCTAAAACCCCACGTGGAGACAAATAAAATCGAATGAAATTCAACCACGTTTTTCTCCAATAATCACTCTTTTAGTACTTTCCTTTTATTCTCAATTTAAAAAAAAAATTTATGACCAATTGAATCTAATTCTTGTTCATAAAGCCGTACTTTATCTAATTAATATAACCATTCTTACTAACTAATTCATCTATGTCCAAGGATGATCGGGGAGGGAAGGAAACGGAGTCAGTCGTATTTTTAAAATTTTAAAATTATTATATATTTTAAATTTTTATATATTTCTTATTAAAAGTTTAATTTTATTTTTAAAATTTTATAAGTTTGTCTCCTCTTAAAATTTAAAAATAATTTCTCTCCGAGATAAAATTTTGAGTCGATCAACGTTTGAATATTCACAAATAATTGAATAGTTACAATAAATTAATTAAACACCAGGATTCATATTAGTTTTTGAATTTCTTGATCTCTTTACTCATTCCTAAATATAAATTTAATTAAGAAAAATATAAAAATATAATAAAATAATAATTAATAATTAATAAGATTAATTAAGTAACTATTTTTTTAATAAAAATATATCCTTATTTAAAAAACATTTCTTTTTATTTATTTTTGAATTAATTACTGGTATCTGATCTATTAACCGACTAATCCAGTTCGGGTATTGCAGAGGCGAGGGCGACCCTCCCAACCCAGTTTACTCCATTCGCAAATGCCACAATTCGAACTCCTAATCTTACTTAAGGGACCTAGTGCCTCATCCCACTAGACCAATTGGTTGTTGGTTCTTTTATTAATAATAATTAATTCAAATCCTATACACAATTCATTTATATTATGTAAAATTCAATATTTTTATATGAAAATATAAAAATTAGATGAATGTAAATAAACGACTTAAAACAAAACTTTATACATGAATATTTTTCTTCTTTAATTTTCAAAAAAATAGATAATTTTATTTGAATCTTAACTCTCTATTTATATTTTCATATAAAACTATTAAATTTTACATTATATAAATAATTAATATTTAATTTTTATATATCCGCATACATATACATGATTACAAAGACAGGACCGGAAAAAGATTGGATTAAAGGAAACGAAACTAAGCCCAAGAGAGAAGGGCAAACTAATAAGATGTTAGACCCTAAATTGCAAAAGTCCATCTTAACCAGCTCGGTTTTTTTAACTTCACAAGAGCTGAGCCGAGCCGAGCCCATAAGCCTATTGTTTTATAATTAATATTTAGTTGCTGTTGGACTACATAAATCAACTAGTGGTGGGGAACAAAAATGGCTCTCTCAGATGATGAAATCAAGAGGTTGTTTCGAATCCGAAGGACGGTAATGCGGATGTTGAAAGACAGGCTATTTCGAGATTAACTTGTCCTTAGAACAATTTATTTCCAAATTCGGTGAATACATGAAAAGGGATGATCTTATTATCAATAAAGCTAAGCGAAATGATAGCTCCGATCAGGTATCCCCAAATACTTCTCAGCATTCGACTCAGATTTATCAAATAGTTTCAAGTCATTTAACATTTGCTTTTAGAATTTATAGTAATATGGCACAATAAGTGTTTGAATTTATCAGTTGTTCTTGTTTATGAAGTTTTACGTAAATTTGCCTGTATCAGTAACCTTATTAGTTTTAATGGTTTTAATTTTTGTGTATTAGATCTATGTTTTCTTTCCTGAAGAGCCCAAGGTTGGTGTGAAGCCAATTAAGACGTATACCAACCGCATGAAATCAGAGAGCGTATTCAGCGCCATACTTGTTGTGCAACAGAATTGGACTCCCTTTGCTCGGACTTGTATCAATGAAACTTTTTCCAAGTTTCACTTGGAGGTTTTCCAGGTCAATTTCTTGCTTTTATAATATTTGGGTCTGTTTAAATCGTCTTTATGCTTATTGGTGGCACTCTGTTTAAATCGTCGAATTTTAAGTTACAATCACTGTTTCTTTAAATTCCGATCAATCCCGACGTTCATAAGTTACACTGTCTCCACCATTCGAACCACTATGTAATTCCGATCAAAACTCAACTGTTCAATGACGATGGTGGCCAGAGATGACAAGTAACGGTTTGTAATGGAAAATGAAACGAGATATTTTAGTTCTTTAGAGTTTTCTTTATAATCATTAAAAATTGAGGGGATTTTATAAATAAATTAAGTTTTTTTTTTAAAAAAATAATATTTTTATTATTGAAAAATTAAAAATATAACGATAGATACCTAAAAGTGTAATTAAGAAAATGTTAAACACATATTTTTAGCAAAAATTTCTTTAAACACAAAATCGTTTTTCGAGATAAAATTTAGACGCTTATTTTTGTATTAAAAAAAAGAATTATTAGTAGTGATTATAAAGTAGTATATATTTAAAAGAATTTCAACTATTTAATAATAAATATTCAAATATCCTTTTAAATAATGTATTCGAACCTATAATCTCTAAAAATAATAATTATCCTTTTTATCAATAAAGTGATTTGATCGGTGTTAATGGGTAAATTTATATTATCAAAACCCACTAATATATCCTATCGGTTCTTAATTATTAGGTTCCATCCATTGTGCCTTTTGAACCTTTGGAAAAAGAGAACCGTTTGGACGATAAGTATAATAAAAAGAAGGTATAATGATAAAAATATTCTCGAAATTTGTAAAATGGCCATTTGTATTTTACTTTTTTTTTTGAGTATTTTAGTTTTTCATATTTTAATTTTTGATTAAATCAAATCCTGTTAAATGTAAACTTTCGGTTGATTAACAGTCAATCTATGTTATTAACGTAATATTTACACATGTTTAATTATAATTTCGTCATTTTTTATTTTATCTATTAAATTTATAAGCTTTTAGAATTTTTTTGAAATTTTAGAGTTTTATATTTTTCGATCCACTTTATCATCACTTTACTTGGAACCCATTGAAGATTTATATATAAATCATTATACAAAATTGGAAAAAGACAGATCAAACTTTTGATCTCTCTCAACTGTTTATTACTTTCTTCAATTTATCTATTCTCTCGTTTTCCTCTACTGAACAATCTCCTTAATTCTCTGATAAAACCAGAAAGATAAACCGCCAAAAACCACCGTAACCTACTTCTCCTATCAATAATGTTAATAGAAATGCTTCGCTCCAAATTCATGAAATCTTTAAAAATTTAAGAATATATCCATTATGGACACGTACACGAAGATGTTTTTATGTAGTGATAATTGATAAATTATCTATCCATACATGCATCTCTGTCCAAAGCAAGGGAACCGTTACCAGGACCAAATGCTGCTGTTTTATGATCATTTCTCGGGCACTTGATAGCAGAACTGTCCTAATGGAGCAGTCGTTTTATATCCAGATCCTATTTAATCTACGATTAAGAGATTTCAAAACTAGTCTGTTCTTAGCTGAAATACATGAATGACCCCTTCACATGGAAGAAATCCAGTTCTGACATATACATAGAAATGATAACAACCTTCATAAATACCAATTTCTGCAACTTTTGTTTTGTTATTACAAAACCAAAACTAGGTACATTGGTTCAGTTTGTCTGAAAAGAAGACAGACGCCAACCTAAGTAAAATACCACAGCTTTCATCTCTGTGGAATCCCCATAGATGGGACCATTGCTGTTTTCTTTGAACCCCTAAGAATGGAAAACAATAAACAACATTTCAGCCAACCTAAACATCAAGCTTGCTTCAACAATCCATTATCAATTTAATTGCCAACAAGTCCTTGTAAGAATATCACATGGGGGTCGGTGCTTGATAAACGACAGCCATTAAAAGCATTGACTTAATCGATTAAGATAGCTGGTTTTGTTTGATCCAAATAACCTTGTTAACGAATTAGTCTCAATTTTGGGAAAAAGCAAGGAACAATTTTGAATGCATTCCTACTTGTAATAATTGATTGATGAGGGAAACGAGAAAGAAAACAGCTGCCACTTGCTGTCTTATTTATGGTAAACTCAAAGACTTTGTAGCTTGAGGATTTGATTCAGGAAATTCAATGACAAAAGGAGGATGCAGTTGAAGTATATGTGTGTATATATATTCAATGCATTAGCAAAGGGATACATGGTTCTTATTTTCCGAAACCCAAGCAGTTCCTTTTAATTTTCCATATTTTCTCTCTGTCAAATGAAACAAGGAGCCAGGGAGATAGGTCCAACTGAGCTGACTAGTTCAATAGTTTGTTCGTATCGTGTCGTGTTCATTACACAGACCAAACCAGACCAGACCATTTGAATGCATTGTACAAAGTTTGACATTCAAAGGTGGAGGAAAAGACGTTCGGAAGCAAAAATAAAGCCTATAAAAGCTAAAGAGAGGGGAACAGCCCACAGCATTTTGCTTACAAAAGTGGGGGAAAAGGACTGAAGAGATAAGTCTAAAATTCACCAAAGAACATAATAGTATGTCAAAATATCAGATTATTACAAAGCAAAAAAGAATTACCCAGATCACAAAAACTTGTCTGCAGCCACAACAAAGCTCTCTAAGCAGCTGTTAGCAATTGTAGGCAATAAATATGTAACCTCGAGTTGATGGGTTGTTTTCTCATAAATGAACTTGATTTGTTCCCACAGGTAGGGGACCCCCCAAGAGGTTTTCCATAGGGTTCCCTACTGAGAATAAATTTCTCATTAAGTATAAAGCATAAACACCATAAAGTGGAAAAAAGGTTAGCAAAGTGGTCACATGATTTAGGGTAAGGGCGGGGCTTTCTTTTGAAAAAGAGAACCCCACAAAAACTGGCACTAAAACCAGTATGAAACTCACGTTCCTATTTAACAGTCTAACTGTCCCCTAACTGCTTGAACCTTCCATTATCAATGGAAGTTCAGTTTTCTCATCAGTTTCACCTTCTTTCTGCCTCTTAAACCTTCAGAGAATCAAATAGTTGTTGTTCAAAGACACAGGTTCAAGGAATCTTCTTCAGGTTTTTTTTAACATGAAGTGGAGAAAAAACAAACCTTCTTCATCTTCATCTTTATCCTTCTCATCCTCGTTCTCATCTCGTTTTCCTTCGCTTTCTCGTGTGCTCCCCACCACATGGCTTTCATCGTTCAAGCGAATGAGTATCGATTCTGAAGCAAAACCTGTGAAGGAGAAGCAAAAAGAGATGAAGAATTCCAAGTCGGTGAGCTCATCAAAGTTTGCTGGTGATGGTGATGCTGAGGCTTTTTGGAGGTTGTCATTTGGAGAAGATAGTGCTGATGGCAAGACTAGTAAAACGGTGTCACGATCGGATTGGTACGATTCAGATGATGAGCTCGATTTTGTACCCTCGAATTGTCGAACCTGCGGATCGAATGCTACAAGGATAAAGGAAAAAGAGGAAGCTAAGACATTCAACAGAATGGCTTGCAATGCAATGTTTCGTAGGGATATGCAGATTTTACCTGATATCAATATATACAAAGGAGAGAATTCGACAATACTCAAGACACCGAGGAGCAGGTTTACAATGGAGATAGACTCGAACTCGAAGAAGACAAATGGAAGAGTAAGAACCATGGAAGAGAAAAGGTTGAATAGACAATACAAATCAGGTGAAGCACAGCATAGATCAGCAAGATCAGTGGAAAAGAACACCTTGGGAAAGGGTGATTATCAGAGAAAACATCAATATCCTTGTACCATGAATCTAAGAGCCTCCAATTTAACAACAATCAATGAAGACTACGCCTTTAAAGCTCATAAATTGGCGGAGACTGATGTATTTTCTCCAGAAGAGGTTAGTTCAGAGGGGAGAAAGTGGAAAGAAAAGAAAATTGAAAAGCCGAAACAGAGGAAATCTATTTACATGAGCAGAGAATTACCAAGGAGGAGAATGAAGCATAACAACAAGGTCCGGGTTTTCTCTCCAAGAATAGCTTCCAAAATGAAAGCTCTTGAAGACATGAAGAAGGCCAAACTGAAGATGAAGGCAGAAAAACACAGCACAATTAGCCAAAGAACAGACTTGGAGAACTTTGCCATGGTGAAATGCTCGTTCAATCCGGAGAAGGATTTTCGAGACTCGATGATGGAGATGATCAGGGAGAACAGGATCAGTCAACCAGAAGAACTAGAGGAACTTTTGGCTTGTTATCTGACACTGAATTCTGATGCATACCATGATCTCATCATCAAAGTGTTTCAGCAGGTATGGTTTGACATGGGTCATGCCAATTCTGAAATAAACTCACAGAATGAACGATGTTCCTTTTGATCAATATCTTTCTCTAGTGATGATGACCAAAATTGTAAATGGCTTCCTAGTTTCTAATGTTATACTTGCAAAAGATGTTTTTAATTTGCATTGATTTACAGTTTTAGTTTTAAATTCACAGTTTGAAACCTTGCATACTTGTATCCATATCTCAATTGTAATCAAAGTTCTTGGACAGGTTTTCCTCTACTTTTCTCATGTTATAATGCTTCTTCGTTTTGCACCATCATAAGCAAAGTTCAAGGATACTGTTATAATCTAAGGAAAATAAACAAATGGAAAGAAAAAGAATGAAGGAGATAATGAAAGAGAAAGATGATTATTGAATTTAGGAAATTATAGTAGTTTAAATAGTGATTATAATGACTTTTAAGATTTATCTTCTATTATTATAAAAGACTAAGATTTAGGCTTGGTTATCTCAGTTGAACCAGTAGGGTCACATGTTTAAAGAGTGAAAATTTCCTTGATCGAGACCAAATCCTAAACTGATACTATGTTGTAACCTAAAGAAATAAAGGAGAGAGAATAAAAGTGGTAATGAAATAAAAATATGATATTGAAGTTAGGAGATTATAAGAGTTCAAATAAAAAATTACTAACTTCTAATATAACTTTTATGTTAAAAATGTATCTAGAAATAGAGATTACAAAGATTCCTCAGATTTATTCTTTACTATATTTCTAAACAAACAAAATTTCTACACGGTTGATTCTAACAGATACACTAAAACTGACGTTTATTTCTCAAGAATATGTGAAGCAATAAAAAATGGCCATGTCAATCGGTATAGCTACATAGCACCAAAAGTCTAAAGACTAATGAACAAGAGAGGTGAACATATGAGCATAGCAAGATGAAGTCAAGCATTTATTATCTACTTATTCCTATATCAAACCAATAATACCTAAATATATTACATCTGAAATATTGAAGGCATCCAAAGCTAGAAAAAGAAAGAAAAAAAAATCAATAAATATCAAGTTCTCTCCGCAGGTGTAAGATGCCCCATCTGTTCTGCAAGGTTATTTACATTCTTCATATTCCACCAAAATCGGTTATGATCACCAGGTTTGCTCTCGTTCTTTCCGGTATCCGAGTCTTTTCTATCCGACTGGACTTCCTGAGTATCGGTAGAACCAGGATTTTCAGTCAAAAATTGTTCCCAGAATACATCATTGACACCAGCTGCTGCAGGTGCACTGGTACCCACAGCTTGTTCCTTCCTTGCAATCGGCTCGGAAGTAACAACGGTGGCAGGCTCAGAGTTCATGTCAATCCTTGGCGATTTAGGCCAAGCATCAATGTTAAGCTGTATGCAAGATATCGCAGGACTCTCCGCAATGGTTGTCGATCCATCCAGTTCTAGGTTTGAATTAAGTTGAATGCTAGTTTGACCAAAACTGCGTACAACAGTCTCCCAAAACACCATGGACGACTCTAATTGTTCATATGGCTCCGTGTTGGACAATGACGCGCTATCTGCGTTCTCTCTAGCAGTTAGGGACCCGCATGTCTGACTTTCTTCAATCCCAGTTTCTTCATATAAGTAAGCTATTCTAGGCAACCTTCTCTTTCTGTCATTGGCCACAAATTGTGGTGTCAGCTCTATGGCGACACCTGGTTTCTGCAAGACTTGAGCCACGGAAGACAACATTTTTTGCTGGCGTCGTTCCATATTTTGCAAACGCTCCCTCAAAAGCCGCATTTGAATCTCAAATCCTTGTCGCTCCTGTTCATGCCTCTTTAACTCTAAAAGAAGCGACTCCTTTTCATTCTCAAGTCGCTCAATCTCATCCCTAAATTTCTGCCTCTCTGATTCTGCTAATGGAGAAACTCCTTGACCAAGGGGATTCTGCATGGAATGACTATGAACCGGTTTGCGTCTGTGTATGTTTTTCAAAAGATGAGGCTGACCTCTTATAAAATCCTCATTCGCAAATTCCCACTGTTCTGGATCAATTTTCCTGAAACCCTGCAAAAATATGGTAATTGTTCAATTAAGGTAACAACAAGAAATTTGTTTTTCCTAACTAATCATAAATAAGACAACAAAAAAACAAGTGGCTCACATATGTATTAAGCTGTCTGATAAAGCTAGAATAGTTGTTGTGCTTGAAGAATCTTGGAAGTAATTCTTTTGCAAACTCTGGCGGATTCCATACAATGAAACTCTTATTACTTGCACTCCATGACACAATAGAATCGGTAGAAGGATCCTCCACCATCTCATATGTCTTCGTAAGGAACGGAGGGAACGAACTCGAGCTTCCCTGAGCATCATCCATACCAAAAATTCCAGTAAATGTAATCACAAACCCCTTAACGTCAGTTCCGGTGGTCAAATATCAACCAACACCAACAATTTCCTCGTAAATAGGTCTCTCAAGCCTTACAAACCAGCATCATCATTCCAAACATCCCAATCAAATATAAACATTTGACAACCTTTCTGTTATATGCAACTAAAGATTAGTATCCCTTATCAAACAGAATCCCTAAGCTTCGAGATGACTCTCAACTTCACAAGTCTACAAATTTCAGCGAAGAGCAGAACCTTATTAAATGAAAAGCAACAGATTCATTCACCACTTAAGAAATTAAACCTTTCACTCTAAATTCTCAAAACCCAGATCAAGAACCCTTTAGAAATGGAGACAAAGATGTCAGCTGTTTCAATCTATCCAGCAAAAATTCCCTAAAACCCAATTCAAGTCCCTAAATTCTCGTCCAAAATACAATGAAACAGAAAACCCTTTCTCCTCCAATCAAAAACTACAATATCATTCAAAGTTTTTCCAGAGAATTGAGAATCCAAAACCCAAAAGTTTCTGGACCCGAAACCGATATCATAAAGCTCCTGTATTTGAACCAAAGCCAAAATTAAGAAAGAAACTATTATAATTCTGTTATCAATTTGAAACCATCAACCATTTGAAAGTCATTAAGTTGAAGAATCCTATTTACATTATTTTTCCCTTTAATTATTATACAAAATATGAGATAAAGAAAAATAAAAATAAACAACTTGAAGCAAAAGCAACAAGGGAAATAATAATTAAAAAATGGGTGAATGATTCACGATAATTAGTTGAGTTGTTATTACCAGAGCCACAGTATATAAGAAAAAAAGGCGAAGTTGCAGACAAGAAGACGACGATGATGATGATGATGATGATGAAGAAGACCCAAAATTCGAAATCTATTAACGGATTATTCCAGAAATTCGAGGGTTTTATTCTTCTGCTTCGAGAATATTTGGGGATTGCGTAGACTAGAAAAACTAAGGGTCCTTTCACCACGATGTTATTCTATTTTTTTTTTTTTGAAAATTAATTTTTATTATTTGTTATTATTAGTATCTGTACTATTGTTGTTGAAATTTAAAAATGGACATTGACTCAGGGAGGTAGGTGATGACGATATTTTTTTTTATTAATTGCATAAATATAAATTAAATAAAAAATATATATGAAATACATTGAAATTCTTTTAGCCAATATGTAATATATTAGATGCACTACTCGTATTTGTTTATATTGATTAAATATATTATGTTTTAAATGTTGTTGATACAAATGCATGGTATATAGACTGTTTTTAATTATCAGTTTGAATCATCTATCTAAACAACTTGTAATGGTTACATTAATTTTTTGGTTTATATGAGTTCCATTTTTATTGTTTTAAATATGTATGTTTAAGGACTCGTAAACTAGTCTTGCTAGTTAAAGAAATTATTAATCTTTTTAGAAGTTTTAGGTTTAAACAAGCGTATGTGAGTGTGCGTGCTTTGTCAATTATTAATCGTTAGTTCACTAACAGTTTTCATCTAACAATTAAAAAAATTATTAATCTTTTTAGAAGTTTTATATATTATATTATGGTTTAAATGTTGTTGATACATATTGTTTTAAATGTATGTTTAAGGACTCATAAACTAGTCTTACTAGTTAAAGAAATTATTAATCTTTTTAGAAGTTTTACGTTTAAACGAGCGTATGTGGGTTGTGTGTGTTTTGTCTATTGTTAATCGTTAATTCACTAACAGTTTTTCATTTAACCTGAGCCATTTTGATTAAAAATTAAAATGTTAAGGGTTATATGCTTGGAAAAATATAGATCAATAAACAAATATTTAGACTAATTTTATTGTTACTCTAGAGTAAAATAGAAATAATCATCATAAAAATTCATTAAAAGTATCAAAGCGAGGTGATGCTTACGTGGTTATCATCTATTTAAATATATTAAAAGTAAATAAGTTAATTAAAATTTAAATAATATTATCAACAAACCAATTAATCTATTGGGATGAGACACTAGATTCTTTAAGCAAGGTCAAGAGTTTGAACATTGATGTTTGCAAATGGAGGAAACTAAATTAGAAGGGTTGTTATTGCCTCTACAGTACCCGATATGGATTAGACGATCAATAGATCTGACACCAGTGGTTAATTCAAAAAACAATCGGATAGTGTTATCATTAGTACGACATATAAAAAAAATATAAGATTAAATATACTTTTTTAACTTCAATTTATAAATCGAAAGATATTTGGAAAGTATAAATACTATATTATATTTGGATCATCCATTTTTCAAATTGATATACTTTATTTTATTAGGTGAGAAAGACATTTAGATATGTATGGATTTAATGCTTGGGTGAGAAAATCTCTAGAATTCCCACAAATTTGTAGGGATCTCATCTTTCTGGATTATATTGTATGGTATCTGCAACGTTTTCAAACATAAATTATACTTTTCATCTTCTCTCATCTTTAACCATTGGCACAATTACTAATTAGTATGGGGGATCCGCTTTTGTTGACAAAACAACGACAGATGTGAGGCTCGGCTGACTTTGTGGCAGGGTTGTAAATCATTGGGGTTGAACTTTTGGGTCTTTTAATCAAAGTCAACGACACATTATTAATCAATCTTTTTATGAGTTACGAACATTTTAAAAATAATCAAACCAACGTAAATATGATATTAAAAATTTATATTTAAATATAATATTAAATTTTTAAATAAATATAAAAATCTTTAAAAATAAATAAATGATGAACATCTTTAAAGATAAAATAAATAGATACAAACACAACTTTATTAGTTCAAACTAGTTTCATTTACACCCCTTTCTCCCTGAGATTGGGTATGTTCTTGGACTCCTATACTTTAGTCCAAGAGTAGTGATTGAGCCCGCTGGCATCCCAGCACAGTTGGGTGCCAACAAAAATGAAATATATCAAATGTACGAAATTTGAAACACTTCTCTAAAAGAAACAAAAAGAATCCATGTGATTTCATCATTAAAAGTAGGGGGAAATTGTGCACATGGAGTTATTCTTTACAGTTTACGATTATCGCAGAGGTAAAAACAATCTGCAATATTTTTTCTGCAATGTTTGGGGAAAAAAACTTATATATGTATGCATAAATATGTTTATATATGCTTTATTGTGAGGTTATTGATGAACTCTTGAGTTTGCGTCAACATTGTATCACCACCACAACACTGCTTAACTGCATCCCTCATGTCCTTAAAACCATCGCAATGTCTTTCGAAAAACATCCTCAGCTTCTCCAATTCCCTGTCTTCCATGTCACCTTCAAATCGTTTTACGGGGATGCCATTTGCAGGTTGCAAAGAATATGATTTAGGGTTATCATCAACAATCACTACCTTTTCAAGATCCCTCCCTATCGTCGACAAGTCCTTAACGTATCTTCCTTTGCCTAATTGCTTGCATGAATCTCTGTATAAACGGTGAGATATCAAGCCCTTGGGGTCTAAAACATCGAGCAACGATGAAGCGTATGGCTCCAGCCCGGCGGTGAACACCACCACCTCGTACTTTTTACTTATTGCTTCCAGGAATTCATCCACCCCGGGCCTTTTCAATACGTAGAAGTTCATTTCTAGACCGTAAATGCTGGGTTTAATCACGAAATCATACGTTATTGGTGGTTGGTATGGGCTTGAATGAACCAGGGTCTCGTCCAGATCGAGAACGATGGTCTTTAATTCATCCGAAGCCAATGGAGGCAACCGGTTCCTGTTGTCTTTTCTTGATACAAGAACTGAAGTCAAATAGGAATCGGCCTCGAATTCGAGTTGCAGTCTAGCCCTGTTACAGCTTTTGAAGCCACCACTGCCGGATTCTTCCGTTTGAAGGATTAAGAAGCCTTGCCCTCGGCGTCTTGCGCCTTCCAGTTTGGAGAAAAACTCGACCAGGCGACGGTGGCATTTTTGGATGGACTTTCTCATGGAAGAAATGACGGATAAATATTTGGTTTTCAACATAGATGATCTCTTACGATAATGAACACGGTGGTCGTACTGGCCGCCGATCACGATGGACTTTGGTTGCACCTTTTTTCCCATCATCTTCAGTGTCATCTCCTGCTCTTGGTAGTAACCTGACGCTGATTGGGAACAATTAATGTGCAGAGAGTCGCCAAGAAAATTAAAAAAGAAGAACAAAAAACACATAAAATTTGAAGACAAAAACACAAAACACAATCAGTGATGTTAGAATCTATGAGTTGAGATTCGAGGGGGAAGCTTTTGAAGCAATGTTCGGTACAACAGTGATCCCAGTTGCATCGAAGGTTAAAGGCTGGATTTCCAACGAATTTAGGCAATTATTTAATATTTAAATCTAATTTTTACACCACATTCTTTAAATATTCCATTTTTAGAGTAAAAAATTCAACCATAATACTAATAATAATACTAAAGTCCTGAACATAAGGCAGTTTTATTTGTTAAGGTTGTCACCACACTGGAAACAATAGTGCAGGAGTTGAATAATAATGCATGGCAGCAAAGAATTAGTTTTCTATGCCTTAACAAAACAAGTAACTCAACTGAAATACGAGGAGGTTTATTAAGAGAACAACACTCTTTCTAAATATTAATATATATATACACGTTCATTTTGATTAATAATTTATTATTATTATAACTCAAATTAATTTTACGTTTTTTTAAAAAATAAAATTAAAAATTAGATATGAACAACATCTTTGCCACGAGCATCGTGAACGGATCTTTGAACCAAATTAACAAGATGTCATTTTAATAAGAGTTATTATTTGGTATACCACCACAGGAAAATTAATAATTTCACAATCTTCACTGGATGATGACAAACGTCCTTAAAATATTTTAGAAGAATTTAAAAACAAATAAATATTACACTTATCGTTATTTTGGTATATTGATTTAAATTTTAACTTAATTAACACCCTTCAATGGAAGCAAAATGAATGATAAAATCTTGAATGGATCTCTAAACACAGCAGACTCTTTTCTTCACCAAAGTTTATCGCTTACAACCCGGTCTATGTTTTCTACATATTCTTCCGCTGAAACCACCGATAATAGCCACGAGATAATCTAATGGCATCCTGCCCCATCTGCCTCAATACCGATGGAGCAATTAACATCACCGGGAACGCCTCAGCGGGCGGAGTTTTCCGGGATCATGAATGTTCTTTTCTAATGGGGTTTAACAAGAGACTTGGGTCATCATCCGTACTCCAAGCGGATCTTTAGATTGTACTAGAGGGTTTAAAGCTGGCATGGGCGAACGGATTTGAGAAAGTTCAACTCCAAATCGATAGCTCGGATGATTCCTGCCTGATCCAAGACATTGATACGGACAAACCTTATTCCTTGGTGTGTGGTATTGTTGTTGTTCTTAATAAAGCTTGGCTCGTTGACATAAAACTTATCAGACTTGATGTGAACATGACTGCTGAGTACATAGCAAAGCTTGAAGGATATGATGTTGGTCGACTAAATCTATTTGATTCCATCCCTGACTCCCTCAATGTTTTACGTAGTCGAGACATTTTAGGTCCCTCAATGTTGGTCGTGTCTATCCGATGGAATAAACTGCCATCTCAATCCCATGGAGAGCATTTCATAATTCGGAGGTCTTCTACGGAAGTTGCTCTCAACCTGGTGTTGGGGGCAGCCTACTATCTTACCTCCCCTTACCCCATTACATATGGGAACAAGGGGGGACAGTCATTTTTGTGTAGTGCTTTTGACTTTGCAACCTAAAAAAATGATGGAAATTATGCTTTGGGTGTTATATATTAGTATGGGGTATGTACAATGTGATTTATATGTTATAATTTTCATGTTGAAGCATGTTCTATTTCGCATGATATGAAAACATTATGCTTGAAATGAACATGTTCAATGCAAGATCATGGATTCCATTAATGAACTCATTAGAATTAAGTTCTTTGATAAATGTATAGATAGACTGCAGCTTGTTAATCAGTCTCTTTGTATTGCATGGGGATTACTTAAGAGTATCTGTGTTTCCGTAAGATAGTCTTATATTTTTTGTCATAAAAATTCATACATTATATATATGGTCATTTCATGCTTTCGGACGTTATACAAAAACATTCACTCCGCTCAAAAGTTATACTGTTGTCACACCTATGAATATTATATTATTCTCACACCCTTGGATTCTATATTGTTCACTCACGTACCTTTTCAATGTCCATCTGATATCAATCGAGCATATCAATATGAACTCAATAACTATGGATCCACTCAATAGGTGTTGGCCACCAAAAGTATTTCTTGAGCATATGGCTCATATGGATGTTATTAAACAATGCGATGAGCCATTTTAGTGAGAGTTTGCTGGTTTACTTATGCTCTTGACAAGCTCACATTTATTTTCTGTACATATTGATTTCATTGAATACTTTGAAAATAAAGATATTGACTTTCTATTGTGACTTTACTAGAAAGTGGTTTTAAGCTCTCAATAGGTGTGGCCACCAATTATGCTCTTGACAAGCTCACATTTATTTTCTGTACATATTGATTTCATTGAATACTTTGAAAATAAAGATATTGACTTTCTATTGTGACTTTACTAGAAAGTGGTTTTAAGCTCTTTAAATCATAAAATAAGATCAATTAAAAATAAACATGACTTAAATCAATTTACATGTTATACATCAATATTTGATCTATATCATCAACTTTGATGATATTATGATCATAAATTTTGTTATCAATAAATATGACAAAAATCGCTGTGATTTTATATTAATAAATTGATGGATCATATTTTATGGGATATTTCAATTATGATATCAAGAGTTTGTGCACACTGACGTTTTAACTATGTATGATTTTTCAGAAATATGTGTAGTCCAAGTGGATATTATTACTAAATGTTGGAATTGCAAATTAATATAATTGTTTATAGGTTGCTATGTACCGGAATTATTTGATCCAATAAACTACTAAATTAAATGGGCCTATAACCAATAACTAACCTAAATCATTTAAAGGGTCATAATCACATAAGTTTTTCTTTCTCATTCTCATCTAACGGATCAAAGTAAATTATCTTGTCCCTGTCTTAATTTACATAAGATTTTAGATTCATTATCCCCTCTATCCGATTAAATGTGTATATAGTTTTAATTTTTTTAAAAGTTAATTTTTTTTAAATTTTGATCCTAATTATTTTAAATATTTTAAACAAGTCTTAGGGGAAGCTTTTTTTCTCTCTTTTTTGTGTCGTCATTAATATATTTTCTTCTTTATTTTTGTTACGAAAGACGACATCAGTCTTAGTGTTGGTCATTGACGATATTTATTGTTTTTTCTTTATTTTATTATATTGTGTCTTTTTTAAAAATTTCCAATAATTTTACTTTTATGACATATTTTCTCTGTCTTTTGGCACGTTTTCGGTCGTTTGACCATTGTTTTTGTTTATCCTATTTCTCATGGTTGAATTTGATATTATCAAGCTGATCAAGATGGCGCATATTTATTATCATGTTAATATTCCCTGCTTTGGACCCTCAGATTGTATTTGGATACGTGATTTGCGTTTGTTGATAGTTTCCTCACGTCACACGACTTTGTTTTGTGATTTGTCGGTAGTTTTTTAATAGCTTGATTCCCTTCTATGTTTCGTATACCGATACAGTCGGATATGTTTTTATTTATTTTGTGTTCGATTCTATTTGGTTAGATTTTATAATTTTTTTTATATGATCATTGTGTGATCTTAAATGACTAATTTATTATGTTAATAGTAAGTAAACTAAATATATTAATTTTTCTATCGTTAGAAAAATCCAATGTGAAACGAAAGATTCGCAAGGAATCGACATCATAGTCCAAAAACAGTGGTGAATGATGCCAACTTCTAAGATATTAAAAGTAAAAGGCAAAAACAACTAAACAACCCAAGTAAGTGCTTAAGACTATGATTGTGAATTGAAGAAGGCAAATTAAAAGGTGACTATTTGGCATTCAGTGGGAAGTTGAGACTTCTGCATGCGCATTGAGCAAAAGCTGAGTTTTGTTGGTAGGTCTCAGTTTCTTAAGGAAAAGAAAAACCTTAGTGGAATCGATTCAATGGAAATAATAGTAAAAATTCTACATTTGTTGATGAACGAATGCATATTACCCTTATGTTGTTCTTTTCCTCAACATTTCATTTCTATTCTCTTGATTATGAACGGACGTATGATTTTATGTTAAAGAATTTATAAAATTTTAAAGAGAGACGAATTTTTAAAGTTTTAGGAAACGAAAATAAAATTTCAATAAAAATACAAAAAAAAATCTAAAATATATAAAATTTTAAAATTTTCATGGAGTTCGATTGCTGCATTTATTCTCTCAATCCATCCATGATTTTGACTAATGTTTACACTTTTAGAGTTCCTTTTCTTCGAGTTGAAATTCCATGCAAAATATTATAGATATAGATAATTCACTTAGGATTAATAATTTTATTATCGTATACAGTAAATTTTAGTAAGTATTTAGAAATATCAGTTAATAAATTTATTAAATATTTGTACCTATAACCAAGTAGAGATTGATTTAAGTGATAAGTAGCTTGATATCAATTAAGCAAGATATTGAGTTCAAGTCCTTGTGTATGCAACAAATTTCTATTGGGAGACTCACCCACCAAAGTCAGGTGTACGACGTGAGTCGGTCTAAATTAGTCAAGGTGAAACCTTGGAACCGGTAGGGTAACTAAAAAAACTTTGTACCTATAAACAATTATAATTTTTAAGTATTTAATTAATTTACAATTTCCTTAATTTTATTTATATATATTCTTACCTAGTAATTAATCATATTTTCGATTATAATTCTATGAACTTTTTATTAAGAGAGATGGAAATTCCTTTCACATTTTATGATGATGACAGATTGATAGGCCAAGTGATTATATTATCAATCCATTATTCTTTTTAATGAGTATTTAATTTGAATACATTATGTTTCAAGAAAATTGATACATTTGAGTATAACTTTGAACAAAATGCTTCGCTTTTCCAAATTCTTTTTTTTAATTGGATAGGATATAGTGTTGA